AAGCTTTTCAAATGAGTTTCTCTCAAACTAGAAGCAGCTGCCTGTAGCCAGAGACGACATGCATGGGAGGAAACCCTCTGTGGCGAGACGAGCCGTGGGGTCCGCTGACGATCCTTTACTGACCTTAAAATACGAGCGTGAGCTGCTGAGAGGAGCGCGGCAGCAGGGAAGCTGGTCACTGTGTTTAAGGGCGGAAAGTGAGGAAGTCAGGAAAGTCTGTTGGTGCAGTTTCCATTTCACACGTCGAGTTTCTCTGGTCACGTGACCGAGTCGGCCACTTGTGGTTGTCAGAGGCCAGATGAGTGCATGCGTGCGATAAAACAGTGGAGGAAATGTAAAAGCTCCTTCGTCGTGTGCTGATGTGCTCGTGCAGCAGCTTGTTCTCGGTTCTCATTAGAATTCCTGAGCTGTGGAAAAGACCTGGTGTGGCCTCAGAGGCACGTACGCAGTATCGCTGCAGTAAACCAGTTATTGTTTTCAGATGCAAAACTTCGGGCTGAATGCCGTCCCGGCGGTGAAACGGGACGCCGTCCATGCTGAGAAACACGAGACGGCTTCATTTATTCTTTCCAGCGCTGCCGATTCTCCCTGCGAGCAAATCGAATTTACCCACCCCGACTCTCCCACAGGGACTCCCAGGTCAGGAGAATCGGCTTCCTGCATCACCGAGATTAAAAAGCAACCGTAGAGCGAGGTCAAAGGTCGGAAGACAACAGGAGGAACGGCAAACGGTCCCATGGGACTCGGATTACTTAAGGAGAGACGAGCTGCGCTGGCACGAAGGAGCAGAGCAGGTCAGGTGGTTCAAATCTGGCCTTCAGGCCCCGCAGCAGCGGCGCTGAGCAGCATGTGGAAACACACATACATGTACAAACACACACATGAAGAAGAGTGGCAGATATTTGTCCTCTCAAACCGGGACCATGACTTTTTTGGGGTCTTAAACTGGGACTTCCTGCAGTTCCTCTGACGTCCACCTGGGGCGCCGTCACAAAGAGCAGGTTTTATTTAAACAGGCACATTTTATTATGTCTTATTGTATCTTTATATTGGACATAATGACATTTAATGTTCTTGTATCCGTTTTGGTTTCTACAGCTGATAACGGCCAGCTGCCACTTCCTGGCTGCTAAGAACCGTCATTAACCAAGCAGCTGATGAAAAATAATAAAAGTATGAAAATGTTTTTTATGTATGAAAACATTTAAGTTTGAACCTCAAGCTCCACAACCTGCTGCAGGCTTCAGTTATGATTCCAGCAAAGAGAGAAAGAAAGAGGAAGTGCAACAGGGAGGAAGAGTATTTTTGGAAATCTTTGCAATGAAAATATAATGACACACACACACACACACACACAC